CCGCCGGGGGTGCGCTCCCGGGAGCGGGACCAGCTGCGGCTCCGCCGGTGGCTCGGGCGCTTCAGGCCGTTGCGTTCACGGGAACGGGAGCGGGAACGGGAGCGGGAACGGGAGCGACGGCCACGGCGCTCGGGGCTGGCGGCCGGCGGGCTGCGAGAACGCGACGCCGGCGCCATGGCGGCGGGGAAGCCGCGGCCGGGAAGCCACTTCCGGGCGGCGGCGGCTTCCGGGGCCCGCCCGCTCCGGCGGGGCGGAAGCGGCGGGGCGGGAGCGGGGCGGGAGCGGGGCGGGAGCGGCGGGGCGGGAGCGGGGCGGCTCCGCCCGCGGGGCGCACCGCCCCACCCGCCCGGGCGACAACACGGCGCCGCGGCGGCGGCTCCCTTTGTGCTGCCGGCGGCGGGCCAGCCCCCGCGGCGGCCCGGTCGGGTCCCCGCCAGCGGCCGCCCGGCAGCATGGACGTGCGGGCAGCGGCGGTGCCAGGTAAGGCGGGGGCGGGCGGCGGCGGATGGCGGCGGTGGAGGCGCAGGCCCGGCCCCGCCGCACTCCGCGAACACCGGCGGGAGCTGTCCAGGCCGGCCCGGGAGCAGCACTGCCCGGCGGACAGCTCACGGCCCGGCCCGGCCTCTCCGCCGGTCCCCGCGGGGCGGCGGCCGCCGGGGGTGCCCCTTCCCCGGGCGCCGTGGCTCAGCGCCCCCCCGGCACCCTCCCGGCCGATTGGTGAAAATTAAAAAATACGGCACCTCCCAGACTGGCCTGTCGTGGGCCTGGGTGGCCCCACCTAAGGAGCAACAGCGGCGTTTGGGGAGAAAATCAAATGAGGTATTAAGATCAAATGCTCACTGTCCTTCTGTGAGTGTCCTTCTGACTCGGGGTGCCGGGTTTGAGCACCTCGCAGCGATGCATTCTGACCAAAAAAAAAAAAAAAAAAAAAAAATAGTTTCTGCTCTGCCCTGGGAAGTGCGGTGTAATGCTGCTGGGCTCCTGAAAGCTGGGTGTAAGCGAGGCGTTTCGGATGGCTGCTCCATCCCGGAAAGCCCGTGCTGGTTTATACTGTCTGGAAAAGATGTCTGAGCATGTCAGCCTCTTTCACAAATGAAACACTATTTCAGTTCCCAAGCCAGTCATAAGCAGCATAAAAAAATCTGTAAGAAGGAGGAACCCTATTTAAATTGAGTATTATCTGGCGTGCATGTAACCACATGCAGAAGGGGGATGGAAAAGATATTACCAGAGGTTTGCATACGTGTACGGTGTTACCGTATCCTGTGTCTGTCCGAGGACTGCCTGGTATCTCCCTGCTGTGCGGCTTTGCGAATTTTTTGAGTATCAGGGACTACTGCTTGCTTAATTAAACTAGAGAAAGCGATCCTTTAAAAGGCTGTTGTTTTGTTTGGTGGTAGGGTCATTTGAATGATACAGCTGGAAGTCTGCAGTGGCTCTGGTTTTGCCAGCTGAATCCGTACTGCATCCATTAAAGCTCAGTGACTTTGTCTCTCTGAGCTTCCCGTCTCAGGAAGAACCTGAAACCTAGAGAGATCCTGAGACTTAGGAGCCCGTATCCACACTCTCCTCACAGGCTGCCTGTATTCGTTTACCTCTGTGGTATGTGAAGTCAGATGCCCCCAGGAAGAAGTCCAGTCCACTATGTACTCCCAGCACTGGTTACAGGAGATCATGCCACCAGCCCATGAGAGGGATGGAAGCTGTTGGGCCAGACACGTAACATAGGGACCTGTCCATGTGGCAAGTCAGTGTACCCCTGAGGCCTTCATGAGGGCACGTGGCCTTCTCTAGCTTCTCCCTAAGGATCCCCTATAGCCAGGGCTCAGGGCTGCCCCAGAAAAGGGGTGGAAGATCTTGAAACACGTCCGGTGACACTGGAGCCTGGGTTCACCGTGTGCTGAGGGGGGCTGGCAGGGCGGCGGGCAGCTGGGGCGATTCAGAGGCACCAGGCACCTCGCACAATGAGGCCACTCACTCTGTGCCTGGGGGTCTGTCTTGGCAAAAGGGTGACTAAAACATCTACCCCTCAGGAGCACTCTGCACCTCTGTTACTTAATACTGTAAAGCGATTGGAGTATTTTTATACACAGGTGATATAATGCACATACATACAGTATGTAACAGCGTCTACAACTGCTAATGTTAATAAAAAGTATCACTGGACTTTAAATTCAGTTATAGGAGGCTTTATGTAATGAGATTGATATAAAAAATACTCTGAAAATTCCTTGAAGCACAAATGGTGCAAATTAATATTTTAGAGTCCTTCAGAAGCAGTGGTGCTTTATTTGAAATTCCACAATGGAATAATATTTCTGTCCCTGAAAGTAGCCTTAGCTAGGATAGCTGTTGAATTTTGATTTTACTGAAGGCCCTAAGGTGACATTCACCATCATGTTTATCAAATTCTGAAGGCCCTAAGGGGACATTCACCATCATGTTTATCGAATTTAATTTATTTTAATGTAAAATACATTTTTTCATGACAGAGAGTGCTTCTTTGTCTCTCAGATTTGTCAAGTCTTCAAAAGAATTTTCTGTTCCCACAATCTGTATTTTTAAAAAAAGAAGAGAACTCTTCAAATTGCTTAACTGCAAACGTGTCACTGAATTGCGTGTTTTTTTGTCTTCTCACAAAAGCCTACACATCACTTCTTTAAATTTGTACTTAGTATTTTCAGAGCCTCCATCCTGGAGTTTTTTTGGATCACTTCTATGCATCAAAATAAACATTGGTATTGTGTTTCTTATCTATTTTTTTCAGTTCCAAGAACACCACATGTAGTTCTATGTTCTAGATGTTTGTCAATATCTTAGATAAAATGTTTCTTTTAATTTGTCACTATATAAGTTTTTATGTGACTCAAATCACCAAACACTTTATAGGCTTATCTAAAAAAAAAAGAGGAAAAAAGTCCCCAATACTAAGAGGTGCATGCTAGACAAAAACATATTCACATTGAAGTTCTGCATTCAAGTGCAGGAGGACTGAGTGGCAGCTTCAGTAAAATTTTTTACACGGGTCAGAGCATTAGCTCTGCCCTGGCTATGGCAAGGTGACAGTGGGATTCAGATTTTGTATCTGATAGAAGAAGTTGCCACAGAGGGAAGATCCTGCAAAAAAAGTAAAAGTCAAGGAGATGGTGCAACTCTTACTTCTAGACTAGCATCTTTAAATTAGCCATCATTTCTGTGCCTAAGGGTTCAGTTCAGACCTGATTTTTCACAGCTCCTTCCAAATCAGTGCTCATCTTTATCTGTAATTTTTCCTGTTAATTATTTAGAAATGATAGGCAATGAGAAGAAAACTCCTTGCAGCCGAAGGATGAAAGGCTAAGAAATGTTTTAACTTGGACCATCAGACATTTTTTGAAGGAGAAAAAAGAACACTAGATTATACATTAAGAATTAAAACAGTTATAGAATAATTTAATTTAACATAACCTCCTGTGGATGAAGAACCTATATCAAAGGAGAAAACTTAATTAAAGAGTTATATGAGGAAGAAAAGCCTACCTTTTCCCCTGATTATTCTCTTCTATTTATCCTTCTTCACTCAGCTCTCTGAAAAGAACCCTATATATAAACAGAAACTGTCTTTGCAGTGTTTCAGATCTGAAGGCTCACATCAAAAAGGCACTTCCGCTACTGGTGATACAAATACAGGGAGCATGGCAGGTGATTTTGTTGCTAGAAGGGCTTATGAACCTAGGCAGGACCAATTCATTGCTGTTACATGCAGTGAGGGATTGCAGTCGTTTGTGCCACTGACTGTGACCTGTGAATGTTTTTGGTTGAACTTGATAGGAGGACATTAGTTCTTGGCAAAGTTTTTGAATTTTAAGAAAAAAATCAAGAACCTCGGTGGCTCAAGTCCGCAAAATCCATAGGAGAAAAAAAAAAAAAAGAACAGATCCGTAACTGAAGATGAAAAACATCTTTTATGATCTTGGTGTGCTTTGAGCATTCCTGAACAGTGACAGTTTCCAGGAGACCACATCGTGGCTATGTCACTTTGATGACCACATGTCGAATGTGCCGAGAGCTGCATTTTGTCAAAGGACTCGCGTTTGTCGAGCTCCTGGCAGGGTCTAACACGTGCCACCGTGGTGCACAGAATACAAAATAAATGATCCTGCGGTGCGAGCGTGGGTGTTCGGGTTTAGGTGACAGGAGATTGCCTGGCTGCTGGGGGGGTGCCGGCTGCCTCAGCGGTTGGCAGAGCGGCGCCAGCCGGGTCTCTGTCCCCGGGAGGGAAACGAGCCGCAGCGGGAAATCATCTGCTGCCATCACGTCGCCACAGCCTTATCCAACAAGGTCAGGCGTGGGGCTCACAGCGGGCTTCGCCGTGGGCAAGGAGAGCGGGGTGGCGGGGCGCCTCAAGGCCGAAGCGAGGCCCGTGTGCTCGGCTCTCGGCTGCCCGAGCTCTCCGGTGCAGCAGGGCCGGGGACCGGCGAGGTGTGGGTTCCCCCCCCCCCCCCCCCCCGCCTCCGCCAGTGGCTACTCGGGGTCTGTAACCAGCTCCCGGCGCCTTCTTGCGGGGGTGGGGTGGGGTGCGGCGACCCCGGCGGTGCAGCCCCAGGCGGCGAACGGGGGCTCCTGGGAGCGGCCAAACAGCTCAGCCCGGCACAGAGCTACCGCGGCCGAGGGGCTCCCGGCAGCGGCGGGGCCGGGCCGATGGCAGGCACGGCCCGGCACGGCCCGGCACGGCCCGCCGCCCCCGCTTAGCGCGGCAGCAGGACCGCCCCGCCCCGGCCCTCCGGCCCCGAGCGCGCCCGAAGGTTCCCGAGGCCGTTCGGGTCGCGCAGCCGAAGGGTGACGAGCGCGCTCGGGCGGAGCGCGGCCGAGTCCGCCAGGGGAAGGGCAGTGCCGTGCAGCGCCCCCTGGCGGCCGCGCAGCGGGGGCCGCGCCCGAGCCCCAGCCCGAGCCCAGCGGCGGCGGCGGCCGGTGCCCGTTGTGCGGGGACGGGCGGCGGGAGCGCAGGTAACGCGGCCCCTCGCCTTCCTCCTCCGCCCCGCGGGCTGCCTCCCCCCTCCTGTCGCCGGCGGCGGGGGGGACCGGTTCTGCTCGCCTCGCCTCGCCTCGCCTCGAGCAGGAAGTGGTGGCGGCGGGCACGGCCTAGCCGCGCGGAGGAGCCGCTCCCCGTCGGTGCCGCCGCCGCTCCGGCTCGCTGAGGCGGCCCGCGGGGCCCAGCGGCCGCCCGCTCCCTCCCTCGGCGGTGCCCTCCCCGCGGCGGCGGCTCGGAACGCCCGTTTTCATGGTAAACTTCACCGGGGGGGCGCGGAGAGCCGGGCGGCCGCCTCGGAGGGGAGCGGGGCGGGCTTTGGCCGCCGCGGCCGGTGCGCGGCCGGGGCTCTCGGCCTCTTCGTCTCGTCCTGCCCTTCCAGGCGTCTGGAAGGAAAGTTTGAGGAGTAAAAGGGAGGGCTTACGGCCTTCAACTCGCTGTTCGTATATTTCGATGGTTTTTTTTTGCGTCTTGGTGGGGGACATCGAATAGGAAGTGCCGACACATGGATTAGTTTGACTTCAGATATTTTTCGTTCCTGTGCTGCCTCAGTATCTCGGTTTCAAACACAAAGCAACCTTGCAGATACATGAGGAGGTGTAAAAAAAACCCAAGAAGTTTATTTTTCTGTGCAAGGAAGTGAAATAGCATTTTCATTAACCTCAGCTGACCGGTAATGTACAGATGCACAGATTTTGTTGTCTGGCCCATAAAAAACATGGATATTAATTGGGCTTTCTCATAACAATTTACAGAATATTTTCACAATTAAAAAGAAATCTCTAATAATGTTTGAAGCCTTTTGAGGGACCCTAATCTTGTATCTTCCTGGTTTTCAAATTTACCTTATTTGCTGTTGAATCAGATAAGCAGTTCCTCACCTTGCAAGAATAGAGAATATACTCAGAATTGCACATACCTTGTGTAGAAGGTGAAGGGACAAATAACAATAGGAAGCAGATTTACAGAGTGTTATAGCATGTAAGCTTATGAATAATATCTCAAATTTGTTTTTCCAAAAGAACGAATAAACAGTAAATGTGGGAACACTGTCATGCCATTAAAACCATAAATCTGTATTTTTATTAATTTGATGCCTTTTACTTTCTCTTTGCAGGAATGGAGGGGAAAAAACTGATTTCTGCAACAGACACACAGTATTCTAGTGTGCTCCTTCAGTCTTTGAACGAACAGCGTGGCCACGGACTATTTTGTGATGTTACTGTCATTGTTGAGGACAGGAAATTTCGAGCTCACAGGAACATCCTTTCAGCCTCAAGCACGTATTTTCACCAGCTTTTCTCAGTGGCTGGGCAAGTGGTTGAACTGAGCTTTGTAAGAGCAGAAATTTTTGCAGAAATTCTTAACTATATTTATAGTTCCAAAATAATCAGCATTCGATCCGATTTACTTGATGAACTGATTAAATCAGGGCAGCAACTGGGCGTTAAATTCATAGCTGATCTGGGTGTTCCTCCATCTGAAGAAAAAAACATGCCAACTGAAGTCAAAGATGGTGCTTCAGAAACTTCAACTTCTAGTCCAGGTCAAAAGGATGCTGAAACGCAAGTACCTGTAATAAGGCCAGAGAGTCACGAGGTAACGGATGGCATGCCGGTTATAACACAGTCATTCTCCTTACATGGCATAGAATATGAGACTACAAAAATTACAGTGAGTGATTCAGATGATGAGGATGATGATGTAATTTTTTGCTCCGAGATTGTTCCTCCAAAAGAATGTACTAAAGATACAAATGCTGCAACCCAAAACCAGCCTTGCCCAAGTTCAGCTGGAGTTTCTGACCAAAAATCGTGTGGCAGTGGTGGCTCTCCCCATTTGACGAGCACCACAGCAGCTCAAAAACTCACTTCATCTGCCAGTCAGCTAAGCCCAAAACAAACACAATCAAGTGCCGAATCACTTGTCTCTGCAACACCACAGCATTTGACTCCTAATATCATTGTGCTAAACAAGCCTCTACTCAACTCATCACTCAGTGCCAGCTCCTCGCATCAAACACATGTGACCCCTACAATTAATTTACTCAAGGAGAACCAGCAGCCATCTAATAATGGCTCCTTAACTGAAGTGGAAACAACTGCTATTGATGATGAAGAGGTTGTTGAAGATGATGTCGATGTCATTAGCTCCTCCAGTCCTGGTTCTGTCAGCAGTAGCTCTTTGGTTCAGCAACCTTCTGTACCCAAGGCAGCAACCACTGAAGGATCAGGTGTACAGAAAAAACAGGTGGTTACATTTTCACAAGAGCCATTTTCTAAACCTGGAGAATTTAAAATAAAAATCTCGGATGTCCTTACTGGAAACAACAAGGAATTCAGTTCAGGTATAGCACCAAAGCATATGGCAGAAGGGCAGAAAATCATAACATTGGATACAGCAACTGAAATAGAAGGCTTATCCACAGGCTGTAAGGTTTATGCAAATATCGGTGAGGATACATATGACATAGTCATTCCCGTAAAGGGTGATTCTGAGGAAGGCGAAGCCAAGCTTGAGGAAACTCCTAGAACATCTGGTGGCAATTCTCCAAACAGGAAACGCATGAAAGTAAAGCACGATGACCATTATGAGCTCATAGTGGATGGAAGAGTCTATTACATTTGTATTGTGTGTAAGAGGTCATATGCATGTCTGACAAGTTTACGGAGACATTTTAATGTCCATTCCTGGGAGAAGAAGTATCCGTGTCGATACTGTGACAAAGTTTTTCCTCTTGCAGAATACCGTACCAAGCATGAAATCCACCACACTGGTGAGCGAAGGTACCAGTGCTTGACGTGTGGGAAATCTTTTATCAACTACCAAATTACAGCCTCCCACATAAGATCAGTTCATAGCCAAGACCCTTCTGGAGATACCAAGCTTTATCGACTGCATCCTTGCAGATCTTTGCAGATCAGACAGTATGCGTACATTACTGATCGCTCAAGCAGTATACCAGTAATAAACGAGGGTGGAATTGTTTATCGTGTTGGCACAGGGAAGGATGGCACTGAAGGAACAACATCTAACCCTCCGGCCAAACAAATTACCTGGGATGACATTTTCATTCCACAGGGAAACGAAACAATTTTTAAACAAAATCCATCAGAGGGAAGTACTGAATTTGAGTTTGTAATACCGGAATCTTACTAAAATGCATTAAATACTGGAAAAAGGATTAAGTGGAGAAATATTGCAGCTGTTTTAAATGAACTGTTAAAATTGCTGTAAAATCAAATGTTAAAGGAAAAACAAGTTAACTTGTTCTACCAAGTCATCAAATGGTAGCACTTAGGTGGATCGTTAGTGGCTGCAAGATTTGTGGAAGCGAAACATCTGAAAGTTTACTGGAATAGAGAATAAAACATTTCCAAGGAGCTGGCAGTGTTTTCTGGTATGTTAATTTTGATCAAAATGTGGGCATTTGTAGCTTGGAAAGGTACAATTTCTTCTAAAGAGCTAGAGATCTTTCTTCTAAAATAATTGAGGTATTTTCTGTACCCATGATTACTATGTAAACCCTTTCTTTCATGTTAGCACTTTAATGCTGAGTTCTGTTTAGACAGCCAAGGAAACAGTAAGATTTTTAATTGTAGTCTCTTGCATATGGAATCATTTAAAAAAAATAAAAATCTGACAACTCATTTATTTTTGCAAGCAATGCATTACTGCAAGGGTCCAAAATAACTGATCCAGTAGTTTGGAGTAATGTATTTTTGAACTATCATCTTAGTTCTGCTTTTATAAGTGCTATGAATCATCTGTCTTCAGGCAAATAGTTTTGCCAAGAAGAGATATTTGGTTAGGGCTAGCTGTAACAAACTATGCTTGGCAGTGTGGTGAGGATTCAGTGTCTGGACCATTATATTTAACTCTTGCAATGGGAAAGAAAAAAACAAACCTGTAAAGCTCAATAGTGAATAAGCTTAGAACACTTAGGTAGGAAATAATTTTGCCTTTTCAAAGCTTGAGGAATAATGTTAGTTTTTCTTACTACTGGAAAAGATGTCAGTAGTTAGTTTGGAATAAAGTGCTATTCCTTTTTTTGCTCTTCAAGGATGAGGCCTTCAGTCTGGTATTAAAAAAAAGTCATACTTCAAATAAAATTTTTTTTTTTTAGGTGTAGGCTGTGAAATTTACTTTTCAAAACTATGAAATAATGTAAGTGCTGTATCAATTTAGCACTGAGACTGCTGAGGAGCTTGTGTGCCTGTTTGGCTAGATCTTTAAGTGAAACAGGGTTTGGATTTTTTTTTTCCCCCCCATTTATAGGGTGTGGAAGCATGAGGACTAAACCAACAATCAAAAAATACCCTCCATCCACTGTAATCCAAAGTATAATTTCTCTGCAATTGTCCAGTTGTCATCTGTTTTCAGTTTTGGGTTTATTATATTATCCTTTTTTTCTCCTTGCAATTGGTATTTGTTTAGGCACTTAGAAGATAAATTACATGTCCAGTTTGAACAGGAAACAGTAGATCTGAGAAAAACAAACAGCTGTTTACTGGAGTCATAGTTTAGCATTTCAGATTTAGTGACTTGTTAAATTTTTGTAAATGGTAACATGAAAACTGCTCAAGTTCTAGAGATGACTGAAAAAGATTGTCGTGCATAGTACTAGGTAGTTATTGTAACTTTTCATTGCTTAAATTACAGTTAAAGGTTTTTCTTTTTTTTTTTTTTTCATGTTTTAAGTAAGCATCTTGATCCTATGACCTTCAAGGTTAAGGTTTTAGACGTGTAGTACTCTAGACAGAAAGACATTTAAATGGTAAATGGTTCAAATGCAACTTGAGCTATAAAAAAGGGTACCAGAAATCTGTATGAGTAATTATGGGAGAAAGAGGAGGATTTGTTTACCTTATGCATGTAATGCTCAGCACTTCGGTTTTGTAGGCCAAGAACATGATGTACATGATTATTTCCAGATCATACTGCAGACCCCTTTGAATATAAGGGGGTGTGCTTTCAGATGTTACAGGTTGGATGTTATCTGAGGTGGCATTTCAGCAGTCAAACATAATCCTCACAAGACATAAGTAGTGATTGCCTGTATTAGCACAGGTAGCTCTGACGTAGCTGGCTGCGTACTCCATTGAGACTTCTTGAACTTTTTGACAAGAAAAATACAATGTTATTTTTTATTGACATGACACATCTGGAATTAAGCGTACATAGCAAAGTGTACATTCAGTAATAAACATAATGGCTATCAATATTTGCTGCTGATATATTTAAAACCTTAAATTAAACTGTGCCTACTAAAGGTCTCTTTTTTTGGAGGAAAACTGGAAAATTAGGGCTTTGTAACTTTTTGCTAGAAGACTCGTGCTTGCATGTGTCTCAGGGTCTTCAGTTTTCCTTGGAAGTGATTTTTGATATCCAAAGTCCAGAGGTCATGTAAAGCATTTTTTAATTTCACTTCCACTATTTATTGGTTTGGAAACATAGTAAATCCATTCTTTTAAAACTTTTTATGGGGCCATGGGCTTTTATATTTAGATTTCTGGCTATTGCACTTATATTTGTGGTTTTGTTTGTTTTTGTAAACACTTAGCTTCCAGTTTAACTTAATGAAAAACCTTATGTAAATATTAAGAAATTGGCTTTGGGGTAATGGAAGAAATAGATTGACTCAGAAAAAGCATTTCTATAAAAATTTAAAATTGCAACAGAGTATGGTAACAAACCTCACAGTCATTTGTATGCTTATAAAAACATTAATGGATCTGCTGCAAAATACTATAATGGTGGCTGCATCCTCACTGTATGGTTTCTTTGGGGATTCATACCATAACATTCCAGTATGTGAATTAAACAAATGTTGAGATAACAATTGACTGCTTATTTATTTTGTACTGTTAAGGCATGCAGCTTATAAAACGATGCAGAAGCTGATGACTATATACACTGAACATTGAATTCTACAGCTATTGCCTAGGAACTGTTCATGTGCAACATTTATGATTTTTGCTGGATCTGTAATGTATATAGTTGTACAGTCTTTCCTTAACATACTTTTTAAAGTTGTGTTCTACTTTTCATTAATCAATACTTGATATTAGTTCGTAGAGCTTTCTATGGCAAAAATAAAAAAAAGTTTAATTCTGAAGATGGGTGTAGCACGTTTCTTTTTAATGACAACTCAACTTCTACAGCCTAACGTGAGATTGCCAACAGCCTGTAGCTTCCTTTTCTAGGTCTTTGGGAATAGCAGGGAAGCCCCTGGATGAGGGGGTGTGAGGTGTTTTTATTTAGGGCTTAGGTTTTTTGGTGGCTGTTTTTGTTTGTTTGTTGGAGTTTTTTTTTGGTTGAGCACTTTCCCAGAAAGCAAATTTAGCTGAAAAACTCCACTGTGTATTGTGAGCCGAATGTTGTGATAACACACTCTCAGAACAGGCAAGAGCTGTTGTGGAACAGTCTGTCCAACTACTACTGTCATTGCAAATGGCTAGAAATCACAAAAACCATACTTAGTGACCAGTGCAGTGCATTTCAGCTAGCATGGTTAGGCCTCCTCTTCTTACCAGGTTGCTAACTAGTTATGATTTGGAAGAGTTAGTTTGTTGGTGAACTGTGGCTAGCAAGGAGAAAATTACTTTATGTAGACTTACTACAGGTGAGGAATGCAGTTTAACGAGTAACATATCAAATGGTGGTTTTATCTCCTTGGCATAGGGCTTCCACCTACTTCTGCTAACATCAAAGAGCAGCTGACATCATCAGGACAAAATAAGGCCCAAAGTAATATAGTAAACGTGAAATTAAGTAAAGGAGGCACTGACACTGCACTGACTGGATTATTTGCTTCGGTGTTAAGCAAAAAATCATCAGGAATGACTTCACAGCTTCACAGTGATTGAAGCCAGGGCACCCTGTTACGTGGGTAGAACTGCAGAATTACGAAGTGTGGGGGCATCGGGGGCGTTTAAAAACAGAACTTAAGAAATGGTGCCTCCAGCTAATCGTGGTAGAAACACTAGTTTCCAATATAGCAAATATAGGTTTTGGGGGTTTGTTTTTGTTTTATTGTGGTTTTTTTAATATACGATGCTATTATACAAAAATTCCTCAGGTAACATTAATGATGTTTGTAAAACAGGAAAGTTGCTAAAATATCAAATGCAATTTATAAATGTTTACAAAAGTCACACAATTTTATTTAACTTTGGTAAAGTAATAAAAGGGTACATATGAGTCACAATCTTGACATTCTCATAAGAAATGATGAATACAGTGCAGAATGTTGCATTTACATTAAACGCTTAGTTTTACTCAAGCAGAAGGAAATGGGTAGTTCAATAGAAAATCCCACCGGTAATTTTTAAATGTGAAAATGGACTTGTCCTTTTATGGTGAATTTAAAGCAGCAATGTAATTTTTGCTTAAATGTTCCTTAGGAAAAAAAAATGAGATTTTGGATAATTTCCTAGGTTTAGTATTTGTCAACTCAAAACCAATGACATGATCATTTACTAATTGTTTCTCTGCCACTAAGTTATGTTCCCCTCATGAGTTCTGTAGTCCTGTCCTGTGGTGTTCCCTAGACCTTCTAGCCCTATTAGTTGACAGGCACAAATGGTAGAGTATGTTTGTCAGAAGTGGGACAGGACTATTAGCTTTTATTTGAAAGATGCAGTGATACATTTTTTTCTGATACTAATGTGCCCTTCTGATTTGTGGGGAGTTTTTTCAGAAGTACTGTCTATTTTGAAATTGCCCATGATCTCTCTATCTATATTTAATTCAGGAAAACGTAATATAAAATGGATGATGCCCTAGTATACAAATTTATTTCCAGTATGCAAATGTGTAGGAGCTGCACTTCAACAATCTGTAGTAAAACAAAATGTCACGAAAATATGTTCTGCATACACTACTGCTTTAAATCCCATGAGTTGTATGCTTTTCTCCAGCCATTTATTTTTCTTTGTTACTGGAGAAAAGTTACACATGCTTCTGGATAAAGTGTTATCCTTTAGCTTATTAATATACTGATTAGTATTTGACAGTGGACATGATAAGGTTAACACATAGCCTAGCCTAAAGGCTTTGCAAATGCATAGGATTAAAAACAGCATTATAAAGTGTGGGTGTACTTTGAAAAGTGAGATCAGAGACTTCAGTGTTTGTTTTCCATGTTGACAGTATTTAATCTTTTTTTTTTTTTTTTTAGATTAAAAGTAAAGAGATGCCACTGTTGAAAATCCAACTGGATTGTCTCTTTTTTTTTTATTTTCTTTTCCTCCTAGCATGTATTCCACTTTTAGATTCTGAAAGCCAGATTTAGCTTTTAGGTACCTTTTTGCCTGCATCAGTTGAAGGTAAAAGGTAGACAATTGAGGATTAGGGTCAACAATCTGATGCCAAGGAAATTAAATCTTTAGGAAATAAGGAATAAAATGTCGATACCTTACTTTTATCCCTGAAGTAAGCAGTTGAGAATGCTCAGGTTGAGCAGCTCAGATCTGAATGCTGTCATCTGAAATCACTTCCTGGAGTAGAACCACACTTTACAGGACAGTGTCACATAACAAAGCTGACCTTCTTTTGTTATGCAGGATGCATGCAAAATCTGTTGGAATCTAGATCAATCAGCACAGTCATCAGTTGAAGATTAAATGAAAGTCACAACAATAATTGCAAATTCTTATCAGTTTCATCCTATATTACAGGGTGTTGAATTTTACCCATGTGAGACTTACATCTTGGAGAACTAGTAGTGGATATTCCTTACGTGCAGCCCATAATACAGCTACTAAAACAGTGCTTACTCAGGGTGCTGATTCAGTCCATTAAAAAAGTTAAAAGTACAAGCTTAAAAAAAAATTCCCAACCAAACAGAGAGGAAAAAAAAGTAATAATAATGTTTTCACTGCACTGTTTCAGTGACTTGTGGACAGTTCCTGATGGTCTTTGTAGGAATGCAAGGAAGATTTAGGCAGTGCAACCACTCAAAGTGTTTGTCTTCAGCATTACTTACACAATTCAGAGACACATTTCCATTTCACCTTCTGTCTTAAGCATCCTGAAATAAAACAAGCTTGCCTATTAAAGCTTTTCCCCTCAAAAAAAGCAACATTCCAATTGTTTTGCTCAACATATATGAAAATATCCTATGACATTATCACTTCTCATTAGCATTAAAGTTTGAGACACTGCTGTGGTTCCCCTCAAGATTTTTCCAGCGTGTAGGCTGTAACCAGCAAGTGACATGAGCTAGGTTCTGCGGCCCCAAAAAATCTCAGCAACTGGACCCCCAAGGCCAAATAAAACAAGCAACAGGTCGAACTGTCTGTAAGCACCCTCCCCTTGAACAGATTGATACTCTCTGTCAACTATCGATCTCGGCTACCCTTACTTCAGCTTAGCACAAGATGGAGTAAGGCAGAACAGAATCTATCATCTGTGTTGTATCGCTTTATTAAAAATCAAGGACTACATGAACCTTGTAGTAAAACAAGGAGGCTGGAATTTAGGTCACCTGCTATTCACTGACACTGCAAAACATCAGCAGTATGTCCCCTTCCTCATACTCCGTTGTTAAACCTCTAAAATAAGTCTCGCAAGAAAGAATAGTCCAATCTAATATTTGTATTTGCAATTATATTCTGTACCTATCCTCTTGCTCCCTCCTGCATTAAAATATAAATACAAAATGTTCACAATTATTTCAATGGCGAATATTTTCTTCTTCTTTCCCACATTCTTTATGGTGTATAAGGTGGTGGCTTTTCAAAAGGTGGAAAATACGGTGGTGAGTAACGAGGCGGCGCATTAGAGGACCACATATAGCTGGGAGATGGTGACACTGACTGGGGGTCATCGGATAGGCCAGAAGGAGTGGAGGCTGGAAACACGTTGGAATGCTGTAGGGAGACAGCAAAAAGGCTGTAATGTAACTACTTCTTAAAGAACTCTGGCAAAGCAATACTTCATTACTGAGCAGTGCAAAATTAACATTTCAAGGTTCACTTCTGCAGAGCATATGTACATACAAATAAGTATTCAAATAACTTGTTGCATTCAAGGTAAGCACAGCCTGTAGCAGTTTTGCATAATGAGATTCCTTAGACCTAAGACTAAAGAAGGAAATAATTAAAAAATCATTATTTCTCATCACTTCTGTGTACCTGCTGCATTTCAGAGATGCTGGACAACTGAAAACTGGTGAGTTCCTCTCAAATCTTGGGTTTCACATATCAGACAGTAGCAACAACAAACAGATAGTTCCTTTTTACACTACTTTTTCACTTCAACACAAATATAACACCCCCCCTCCCCCCCCGAAATTAATGGTAACAAAATAATTTATTCCTTCAGTAAGTAAAAAGCTTGAAAAGGTGGTGTCCTGGTTTTGGCTGGGCTAGAGTTCATGTTCTTCCTAGTAGCTGGTACAGTGCTGTGTTTTGGATTTAGTGTGAGAATAACGTTAATAACACGCTGACGTTTTAGTTGTTGCTAAGTAGGGTTTATCCTAAATTAAGGATTTTTCAGTTTCTCATGCTCCGCCAGCGAGCAGGTGCACAAGAAGCTGTGAGGGACGATGGCCAGGAGAGCTGACCCGAACTAGCCAAAGGGACATTCCGGACCACAGAACGTCACATTCAGTATATAAACTGGAGGGAACTGGCTGGCAGTGGATTGCTACTTGGTCATCACTCAGTGGGTGGTGAGCAATCGCAGTGTGCTTCGCTTGTCTTTTCTTGGGTTTTATTTCTCTCTCTCTTTTTTATTATATTCCTTGTCATTATTATTATTATATTTCATTATTATTATACTTTATTATTGTTGCTGTTATTTTAATTATTAAATCATTCTTATCTCAAACCAGGAGCTTTAACTTTTTTTTTTTTGTTTGCTTGTTTGTTTTTTTTAATTCTCCTCCCCATCCCCCTGGGAGGGGGGAAGGAGTGAGTAAGCGGCTGCGTGTTGCTTAGCTGCAGGCTGGGATTAGACCACAACAGGTAGAGCAACAAAATTTGTGGGTGCCTGAAGATTAATTTCTGCTTTCCAAATTACCTTAATTATCAAAAATACCTTAGGTCTAAAGCCTTAAGTCATATGGCGCGACAGAGACCTGTGCACAGGCTGTGTTCCGTCCAGAAACAGGCCAGATGAATAAGCAATGAAATAGTCACTTGCATTTGCTCCTCTGGCCACTAATGCACCGTGGGTTTATCCCCTGACAGTCACGCTGGCCCCGCGCTGCTGTCGGCCATCCGGCCCACCTGAACAAGCCCCTGCAGATCGAGCAGTGTTGGACGGTGCCCGGCCACACCGCCGGCACGCCGGAGCAGAGCGCCTTTCTGCTCTGGCACGCAGGCACCACGCACCCCTTTGCCACCCCTCAGCTGTGGGCACGAACTGCAAACCCCAAACATGCCCGGCTTAAGGCCCTGGAAGAGACAGGAGCGTGAGGGGGATCTGCACTGTGCTGCAAGCGGCACGGGGGTGTGTGCCGAGGGCCCCGTGCCAGGAGCAGTGAGGCCAAGCTGTACGCAGCGGTGACCACGTACAAGGTCGGAGGTAACCCTGTGGTTTTACCTCGGTGGGTGGAGGGATGATGGACTCTGCAGTAATAGCAAGTTGTTTTCAAACAGCATCTTTTTTGCGTCACTTCCCTAACACCAACCTGTGACAGTTTATTAAGCTGATATATGGGCCATGAAAGCCCAGCCTGCTCACTGAGGACCTCACAGAAAGCCATACAAACCATTCCTGTTTCGAACAACACAACAGCTCTTCCATCATTCCCCAGTTCACCTAAAGCCCAACGGGTGGGAGCCCCTGAGCTGCAAAGACATTTGGAAGGGTGCTGCTGCAGCGACATGGCCCCGGAGCTCGTTAGCAAACACAGCCTTGGGTTTCACCGTTGCAAAGTGCCTGCACCCAGCTGCCGCAGCCGTGAGTCCTGGAGGAGAGCTGCCATGGCTGCAAGCACGCCTGGCTCGCACCGACTGATGGCGGCTGGGAAGGTGGCACCAATTCCTCTTTTGACTGGGGGTGAAAGGCAGAGAAGGCCACTGCTCGCCTGCGTTCTCTTGTCAGAGCCAAATGTGGCTCAGGGCCTGCAGAAGTCAAAACGCTGTAAGACTGAGACTTTCTCATCCGATTGCCCCCAACCAAGCACACAGAGTGAGGAGTAAGGTACCGGTACTACTTCCACCCAGGGCCCTTTCCTCCTGCCCATTTTCCTGCCATGGCCCCCTGCAAAGTCCTGCTGCCTTCCTCACCACGACCAGCTGGGTGGACTGTCATTAGCCATGGCACAAGTGGTGGCCGCTGCAACACCCATCGGCTTGTGCTCCTCCAAAAAACAGAAAGCCAGTCTGCCATTTTAGAGTTGTGCATGAAAGCCAGGCTCTTGCAGGGGCATAGGCTTCCTTAGAGATTCTGGAGAGTTGGGGTTTTTTTTCCTGTGAAAGATGTGTGGGATGAGTCGGGAAGCACTGACTTGGCCAACTCTTGCACCAGAGGGAGTGCAGCCTTCAAAAGGAATTTAAGAGGTGAGGCTGGGCTTGCTCTGTGTGCTGTAGGATGGCCAGGGAGAAGGTGTCAGGGTGGTAGGGACACTGCTTGTGTCAGAGTAGGGCTTAATGCAAGAGAGAGGCTCCACAGCCAGAGGCCTCAGCTAATGCTTTCATGCAGGCCCTCAAGTTCCCTGGAAGATAAGCAAGGCTCAGACTTGGAATTGCATTTGAAACACAGACCTGGCTATTTTAAATTTAGATTATCTCATTTTATGCCCAGCTTTTGTGCTGACTCCTAATCTGTGCTAACACCAGTGAGACACAGAGACTTTCACCTGTCCAGCTGAGCGGTAAGCGTTAGCAGAGCCCCAGCAGTACTTCTAGTTGAAAAGCAGGGCAAATCCACCCATGCTGAGTGCTCCGCTGGTACTGTGGTTGCAGTACAGACAAACCCTGAGTAAACAGCACTTAGTATCAGCCAAGCGGCTGAGAAGAGGACTTCACAGCTCAGCTTGGTTTGGTATGCGCTGAGGTTGGCATTTTTGTAACTGTAAAAAGCTACACAACACTAGTGACTGCTTTACATTGTGTTAATCTCAAAAATGAGTCACAAATCTGTATAAATAAATCCTAGAAATTCTGATGTAAATGTACAAATATTTCTAGGAAGATCTGACAACAGTGTTGTCTAGTGGCAGTAGCCGTAAAACCAGAAAGGTTTAGATTCATGTTATCTCTAATGCACGGCTCTGATGAGGGAGATGGTGGCTGTCACAGACCACACCTCTTAGTTGATGTCCAAGACCTTAATCTTGTTAATTAAAAAAGGTCTCCAGCCTTGATGGTTGTAAAGAAAACGTATGATATGTTAACATCACCACTGTGGTAAAATCCACCTGGCAGAATAGCTGAGGAGGAAATGTCCTCATCTGCTTCAACAAGTGAAAGCTGATGTTGACTGCAAAGTTCACATGAAACCACCATTTCCAATGGCACAGCTCCATAGCTCAGAAGAGGAAAGGATGCATTACATCAGAGGTGATGTTTGCAGGGACCATTCTTAGACCAGCTGAAGTGTGTGGAAAAAAACCCATAACAATAGCTTTTCAGTCAGTATGTGTCTTCAGGAGCTCAAATAGCTTGTTTCCAAAAGCTCATCGGTTTCTCTCAGGCACAGCAGTTGGCCTGATAAAAACTAGCACCAGAATACCTTGCTTTGCCTCTATCCTCAGAGAATTGCAGATGCCAGAGGCAATGCCTATTTCTAATGTGGCCTCTACCAGTGAATGACAGGGGAGGCAGGCAGCAGGTTCTGTTGCCTTCTCTTCAAGGACAGCTTTCAGGAAAATGCTGCCTTAATAAGAGAGCACTGCCAAGGACCAATACCTAGTAGGAAAGATTTGGTATTCTCTGCAGCAACAGGAAAATTAAACTGTGTGAATGATGGCAAGACAGACCTCCAGAGTCCTGCAGACTGTCTGGATTTAACCTTGCTGCTAAACAAGAAAACATCCTGTAACGTTCCCTACCTGAAAGTCATATGCGGAATAGGGAGGCAGGTGAGGAGTGCTGTGGTAGTAGGTGTTGTAAGATGTCACCTGTGGCCTTGAGTAGTAGGACACTGAAGGGTGTGCATTTTCAACTGTACAGTTCAGCGTAGGGAGGGAAGGAGTCTGTTAAAACAAAAAGAAGAGAATCTCAGGCTACTAACCAAGTCACAGAAAGCTGATGAATGAAAGCAGAAATGATTTAAAGGAGCACTGTGTGTCTTTAGAGCTCAACTCTCTCAAATTAGCAACTGGCAATCTGGTTCCCTCTTAGGCTGCAGGTAAATCCTGAGGCCATTTAATTCCTTAGGCACATATTATTTCCTCTCAGATTCCACAGAACAAGCTAGCAATAGCCCAGTGCACCAGTACTCAAACAAAACAACTGTTCAGATTACATCTTCACAAGTAGGAGAAAGAATCCATTAATTTTGATTACTCTGTTATTCAGTGCATTTTGAGATCAGCGTATTTCAACTCCTCTTGTACTGCTCTTCACAGACACTTCTACAGGCAGTCTGGTGTGGATCAAATCTCAAAAGACCATGATGCACAGCTTGGAAGGTGTCTCCTGTTTTGTTTGGGAAGACCTTTGTGAGTCTGAAAAGAGTGCAGGAAAGTTCAGAGTTCTGAAATAAGGCACCCTTAATGGAGGGCCCAAGATTTGTTTGTAAAACTGTATTACCAGGACAACAAATGCTCTTTGCTGGGTGTCTCATTTTGTATTATTCCAAATGAGTCACAAGAGACTGAAAAAAAACCCAAATTTATCTGTTGAATGTTCAGTTCTCCTCATTGATTTGTCCTCTGCAGAACAAAACTGTATGGAAGGTAACAGGCAGCCTGATTAAGTGAGGGTATTTCAAAACTTACATTGTCAGAACAGCATTTTTTTCATTATCTGAAGCTTGCAATCTCTCACCTGATTTTTGTCCCCAGTTCACCCTCAGATTCTGCACCATGAAGAAACTAGATGGGGAGTTTAAGCCTAACATGGCTGCTTAAACAGTCTATAAAGCTCAGAACCCTACTACTGCTATAAAATCAACAATTCATGAGCAACCACCACACATTTCCTTGTAGAAGGTCAATGCTATGGAAAGGAAGATCAATTTTTAAGAAAGATCTTATTTTTATTCATCCCGGTATTGCCAATACCTCTGAGAAGGTTTCTTTTGAAAATACAGTTTCACAATTCTGTTCGTCTTTTCTAATTGTGTTCAGGTGGTGACACCAGATCAGAAAAGTGAGTAATTTCCACTTTCTCCTTACAGTTATTTCATGTCATTCTTTCCAGCCTGACTGCAGTGATGCATAGATAATTTGATTTGAAATAGCTGTTTCCATGATTATTTTTAAAAGGTAATTTGCCTGATTTGTTTGATTTAATGCACATAAAAAATTGGCACCATCTTACCATGTCTTTAAAGCCTCCAAGTATCGCTGCTGTAATGATCCCTAGGAATAGCCCCACTATGTTCAGAATCGTTGCCGACCAAAGCAAGTGGTAAAGGTGGATGATGTCCTGGCAGCTGCTGACATCAATGTATTCATAGTAGCCTCCAGAAATCTCTACTCTGCTAGATTAGAAAAGCAACAATAATGATAAAAAAGTGCACCATGCATCAAAAAACATAAGCACTTCTGCTGGACAGTAAAATGCCATCTGCAATTTAATGATAGACTAAACCTAACTACCAAGGGAATGGAGATAAAGCTTGTGGCATCTGAAATCTCCCCACATGACAAAGGCAGGAGATGGCTTGATCTGTTGTGTAAGAAACAAGTCCTGCAAGGCCTGCAAATACTCAAATGACCTTGAGTCTGAATCTGCCTCTTATTTCTATTATCTGAAATCTCCATAGGGATGCTGGAGGCTTGCCAAGGACAAACCGGTCTTGGAATTACCCAGGGAAATCAGTCTGTGCCCTGAGGGGCAGCTGCCGCTCCTCAGTGCAGCGCTGGCTGCTCCTCACAGACCCACGAGCAGCTGGGTGGGCACAGGGCAGCACAGCTGGCCTCCTGGCACCCCAGTGCTTGGCCACAAAGCACGTCCAACGCAGTGGCTCTGCTCCAGCTGCCTGCCCTTGGCAGCTCTATATGGCTTGCATGACCCCTCAGACCCTGGCAGAGAGAGGTCCTTCTGCTCACATTTTTAAGGTTTTCCACATGCAGAAAAGATGGAGAAAACTCAGTCAAATCCACTTAGGTCATTATTTTGGAAAGGAAAGAGCAGCTCCTGCAACATGTAGGCTGGAGTCTTGCAAGTAGGATTCCTCAGTAATGACTTCTCTCTGGCTGCTGCTTGGGGGAACAGGCTGGCCTTTGGTGTAGCTTACCAGATATAGTGGGCTACAGCAAATCCCCTTTCAGAAAACATATTTATTGGGGACAAAAAATACTAAGGGCTTAGGATTGACATATCTTCCAGATCACATATGGCTCAAACTGCACAAGGGCTTTGAGGAAATGGGGAAGAACAGGCTCACGTTTAATGCCAAGAAACAGGAGATCCGGGCTCAGCTCCCCAGAAGATTCTGCAAGGCCTGCAGAAACCTGTCCCTTTCACAAGAGCCACCCTCCTTCCCTCATTACTCAATTTCAGTTTCTTCTTTTTTCCGTATCTCGTTGTAACGGGCCACTGCAGGAGACATTGCAACTAGGAGACAGGGATTTCAAACAGAATTGAGGCAGAGCAAAAACACTGGTTGTAAAAACCTGTGTGTTAGCCTGCATGACCTCTGTATAACCTGAGCACATACCGTGACTGCCTTTAACAATACAACCTGTATGTGCTGTTTGCAAGAGCTCGTTCCTATGGAGATGTGTGAGAGTATAAAGCTCTCAGCGAGCTTTGGTGTACCACCGAGAACATATAAATGGGAAAGGGCTTGTCCAGTGCTGCCACAGCCACGGTTCCCAGCATCAAGAGGGATGCAAGATTGCTCTCACTTTTTCTATATTTTCCATCCTTTACATAATATGTGAGCTAACCAGCCTTAAGCGTCCATGCCTTTCTTACCGAGATCTCATAAGAACCAGCACCTCCTCAGTGCAGCACACCTGTATGGTACTAAGCAAGACTGAGATGGTAACAATTGATACCTTATGTCAGAGAGGTGAAAATGGGTCAGAGGCAGCCTGACTGGGAAAAAAACCCAAACAAACAACAAAAAAACAAACCAAAACAAACAAACAAAAAAACCCAACAAACAAAAAAAAAACAACCAACCCTGAAAAGTTGCAAGTTTTTTTGTTCCACTCTCTGTGTATCGCTGAGGGATTATGTTCTGTAAACTGTCAAAGGAAAGTGTGAGCTTCACCCTTCTGCAGTGGCTTCCACAGAAACAAAGTCCTACAGAGACCAGGGATTACTCTTCCCAGCATGCAGAACCACCCTCTCCCAACAGCAGCTTTTGATCTTCCTCTACCACAATCAATGGTTTAAGTGGGGGCCAGCCCAACTAAGTACTGTGAGAAATGCCAAGCCCTAGGCTTGAGCCAGCACTAAAAAAATCAATTTATTAATTGCTTGCTTGCACACATTAGACACTCCAAGTGATATAAGCAGCACATGCTGTAAATTAAGTTGTCTTAGGCACAGGAGCCAGATCTAATGATGGTGTGATCACTATGCAGTGGTTCTTGATTGGTAACCACCCTTCTGACTCATCTTTGCACAGTGCTGGTACACTTTCCAACCTCTTCTGACCATGAAAGATATCCACTGTGCAGAGAGGATACTGATTTATGAACACTCAGGTGGCACCAGCTTGCAAACTTTCCTCCCTGTTAGCAGGGTGGGGAATGAAACAGTGACAAGGTGAGGAAGAGCAGTGTCCCAGTTTTTACATCTTCAGTCTTCTAAAACAAAATAAACCCCCACAAAAAAGCAGTGCCAACAGAGAAGGAAGGTGTTAGGACAAGGCACACTCAACAGCAGAAAAACTGGGGAAGGCACCAAGCATGGAAGTAATGGAAACTCCCACCCTCTTCATTTTTCCAGCTGGGCTGGCCCAGAGCACACTCAGCCATAGCTAGGATGGCTTCAGTGTACTTCATACACACCTTTACTTGGTTATCTTTTACCTGGGAGTCCTTATGGCTAACAACCACAGCTTAAGTTCCCTTCCCACAACAGCTGTCATGAACCAATATTTTGCTCCTGCCCTATCCTGGCCCTTCAGACACCTGCAAACCAGCATGACCACTGCTCGCCTTTCTCACAGCCAGGAATGGTATTTTTAGCTTACTCACTTTCCACAGTTGTACAGGTCACAACAGAAGCAGGTGTTGGTTTTTATTTTTGGCGTGCAGGGTGCACGGCGCTGTGGGTGACAGATTGCCTGTGTGAATACAGAAAAAATGCATAAGGACATAATCACTAAACACTGTTTCTGCTGCTATTTGGCCTGCTCTACATGTAGATTTTGCACTGATCTCCAGATTAGCCCCAGGAAGATTTTTCTTTCCTTATCTTGCAGCACAGCTCCTAAAAAATACACAGTTATACTGGAATGAAGACACACTAGATTAGAACAAACCAGTGTTTCCTTTCACCATGGGGAAGTCAGAGATAAGCATATGCTTGCATAGGAAGGGGGTTGTGCAACTCTTACAAGGAGACAAGATCTTGCTGAACTAACACTTCTCACCACACAGCAACTCAGAGCAAAGAGTAGTCAATAGGATGAGAAAAATAGAGCAAGATTCCCGTATTGACGAATAACTGACTAAAGTGGTTAATTGTCTACCTGTGGGTAGTAACACCCAATCTCACATGGACAGTCTTTGGGCTGAAAAGAGAATGGACCCCCACAATGCCACTGGGTAGTACTTTGCACCTCAAGCAGGCATTTTAATTTGGAACAGAGTGGTTATTCAAAACTACTTGGGAACTTGTGAGGAAATCTCAGAGAGACTCTCAGTGCACAGGAAAGGCAGCCAAATATGTCCACACATACTATCAGGATGTGGTAGGAATATGTTTCCCCAACAGGCTTCTCTTTGGAGAAGACAATAGACAGCACAGGTGCAGAGGCTGGCATGTGTTTCTTGTATCCACAGAAATTACTGCTGTCTGAACTCTTAACCCACCACCCTGCTTCAGCTGCACATTCATTACAGGAGATTAGAAAAACTGGTGTATTTTCCTATCCCCCCATCCTGTCCTCTCCACCTGTTCCTTCACTCATGTGGCAGTACCAAGCATGGAGGAATCCAGTCCCCAAGTCCTCCCGGCATCCCACTCCCACCCCAGGCACAGCCTCCCACCCTCTCCTTGCTTCGCAGACCTCCAGGACACTGGAGCAGCAGCTTGGCAGCAGGTTTCTCCACCTGCACCATGAAGCCAGCCCCTTCATGGAGACAGCACAGCTGAACCTGCTCTCACCTCTGGTGGGGTCGTACTCTTGGAGTAGTACTGACATCGCCCGGCGTACAGTGGCCTCAGATCCTGCCGACAAAAAAGCACGGGGCTTAGCACTGCAGCGAAATCAAAATCAGCTAGCTGGTCTGGGGAAGGGGGCCAGGCCTTAGGGAGGCCTTGCTCTCACATCAGCACCTCAACACAGTAACTGTTCTGCAACACCCCCACCCACAGCAGCCCCTCATGATGTTTAACCCTGGTGCTGGGAGGCACGTATTTGTTGCAGCTAGCACAGGAAGAACAGGCTCTTAAGCCAGGTTTGTTTGGGTGAGGGCAGCCACCCTGAAGTGAATGGTTCATTCTTCATCCCCACAGACACATTCCAGGGTTGCCTGACGTATTTCCAAGGGTTCTTCATTCTGAATCATAACAATTTCTCATTAAATTGTTGGCAAATTTGTCTTTTGGGGCTCTTGAGTGACTTGTGGGAAAACTCTGGAGGATTACCAAAGGCTCAGCCTGCAAACATGCATTAATGCCTCACTTTGGGACAGCCTCGTCCCCGGGGCAAAACCTCAGAGCAATGCTGTATGTGTGTCCACATCACTGAGCCTTTCCCAGGAGCAGCTGGACTTGCTCTCTGATTCAAAACTCGGGGTGGCAGGGCAGCAGCTGGCGACAGGGGGAACGCTATGTGCTACAGTGGCAGGAGCACGTCTCCAGCAAGATGGTGACATTTTTGGACTGTTAGGGGGTAAAGCAAGGCCAAAAGCGTGTCCGTTGATCAAGAGGCAGAAACCAGAGCCCTCACTATCCCAACTGCTCAGCTCTGGCTGCCTCAGATAAGCAGACATCCCCAGGGCCAGACAGGAGGAGGTGCCAGCTCATGCCATCACCCAATCCATGAAGTCAGCATCTAAAAATCCCGGAGCAAGTCTACAAGGCTCAGACCCACACGGCCAGGATCAGGAGTCGAAGGGGCTTCACCTTTTTATCAAAGCTAATGCTTCACATGCCCTCGCAAGGGGGGTCAGAGATGGCCAAGACTTGCTGGTTGCATCCAGACAGACAGAGACCTATCACGCAGCTGAGGAGAGCTGCCTTTTGCTCTGCCAGCAGATCCTGCCATCCAGCCGTCGTTCTACCTTTGGAACGCTCAGAGGCAGGAAAGGGGAGCCGGCTTTACCACAAGACTAACAAGCCAGATGATGCAGGGAGTTTCCACTTCATGGGTAATTCTGACCTTCTGAAATTCCTTTCCATTCTGATCACAAATAAACCCCAAATCTGTTGGTTTTTTTTTTTTTTTTTTTTTTTAAATCTCATTTTGCCCAAAATTTTAAAAAAAGTAATCAAACTGCAGATTTGCAGGAAAAAAATCCATTTGCAGTTATAAATTTCAATCAGAAAGTTGAAATGAAATTGTGTTTTTTCATTTCTATACTAATAACTGAAGCTTTTGCATATCCCACCGTACTAGCGATCAGTCATGACAGCAGTAGCTTGAATTTTTTTAAGTCATCAAATGGAAACTGAGAACCTACTGCAAGAACTTCCTGTTTGTACTGTAACACTTTAATGAGCTTCGTATCAAATTGCTTCATTCTACTACAACATCCAGCCGTTCAATCAGCATTAAGAACTACTCCTGCTAACTTTTAAAATACAATAGATGTTACGTATCATATATTGTCCCTTAGCAATAGCTGTAATTCACATTACATCTTATAGTTTTGAGACTCAGTAAATGCATAAAGGATACACAAAAAAACTAAAGTGAAGTTTTAAGATCTTAATGCTTGCTGCTAATTTAAAAATATTTTTAAAAAACTGATACATTTACCTAAGGTTTGATTTAAAACAGCATTCAGCACATGACATATATTTACAGGTTTTGATGAGGCCTCATGTGGGATTATAGTCACCATCACTTGTTTTCCTAGAGTAAAAGCCTTGCGGGACCTGTGTTTTCCTGGAAGCACTTACTATGTGTCTGGCAGCAAAGACACCGTCTACTATGGCACAGCAGAATGCAGCAATGACACCAAAGCTGATGAAGACAATCGATGCAACCAGCTGAGAAAGGAAAACAAAGCAAAGTATCATCTGCCTCTCCACAACCAAGCGTTTAGTGCCCTCCCCACAAGGATACCTAAACCATAGTCAATAAGCCGTCAAGCAATCAATGACCCAAATGTTTGCCCAGGCTGCACAGACAGGTCTCATTGAAGGCAATGGGATGTGCATCACTCTGCTCCTGCAAGGCAGCAGGAGTAGCAGCGTTGTGCCAGACCAGTTCTCTGGGGACTTGATATTGTAATGCAAGTTTTTCCATGACTCCAAAGCGCTAAACTTAGGCTGAGGATACACCTCTTCTTCTGGCTGCTGTTGTCCTTAACTATTCCTTGGAGCAAAAGGACGGGATTTCTTCTCTCCCCATCCTGGAGCGCTGTGGGGAGCTGCTGCTGTGAACACTTCCCAGGCTGTAAGGACACAGGAGACTGCTGTATGCGAACCTCTCTGGTGAGACTGTGCCTTCAGGAAACAACACTCTCATGCAGGTGTAAGCACAGAGCCATGAGACCAGAAGACAGGTGACCAGCCTAGGCCATGGGTGTTGTACACCTTCACAGCAGCCTGGCTGGGCTCCTCGGTGCCAGGTTGTGGCTAGCACAGCCCCTGGGGCCTCCCCCTGCCTTGAGGGAGCTGCAAGGAGAGAGATCTCCACCTTCAGCTCAAGGAGGGAAGAGTCAGACAGGTCTGATCCTCTTTCACTGGCCCCATCCTGCCCATTCTTAATACTGGGGTGAAAGCATTCAGAAGGTAAACCAGAAATACTCAAACCCCAACCCAGGCATGAGCGACAGTTTCTACTCCCACTATGCCACTTTAAACACCACCTCTGCCGAAGTGCCAGTGCTCAGCTGGGGGAAATATGCATGAGTTTTGACACGACCCCTCTCCTTGCTCCGGAGCAGCAGCTCAGCCGCTGCCAGTGGGCTCCAGACCAGCTCATCACACACAGAGCTCCCGGTACCAATCCCAATCCCCCTCGCCAAGGCACATCAGGGATAATGACAGGGCTGTGAAGAGAGGGCAAGCGCAGCATTCAAACAGACAGGTTCACAAAGACGTAGCTTGAAGAACAGCAGTATATCCATTTAAAGAACTGAAAGCTTTAGTGGGTTTTTCCCTTGTGGTTTTCCACTCCAGGGATCACAGCCTTCAAGTGTCAGTCGCTGACAGCTGTTAAAAACTGCTTCTCCACAAGTGTAAATGTGACTCCGGTCATCAGGAGCTTTGAGCAATAGTAAAAACCACTAATAACACAAATACAGAAATAACAGTTAACTTGGCCAGCACTGACAGATATCTGGGGTCTCCTAGCGCAGGGATGTTTTTTTTAAAGCTCCAGGTGCTAAGTTTGCTCAAAAACCTTGGTTCCTGCCACTGCACGAGGATCCAGTTCTCAGAAAGTCAAGCCACGCCCCTTGACAAACACAAGCCAGAAGGATCCTATAGGTATTTTTAAAGTATCTCAGGATTTTTAGGTTAATCAGACTGTTTTCACCTAAACCTCCCTCAGTGAAAACAGGCCTCCCTCCAGCAACATCCACGTGCAGACCAGGTCAGTTTGAGTAATGACTGTAGATGCAGGAGGGCTCACTTGGGACCATGGAAATGATCCCTGTACAATTGCTTACTTCAGTTAGCTTCAGAATGAGAGAAAATAAAATGGTTTTCTAGATGAGGAAAGTATTCAAGATATACACTGCCCTACCACAAATAAGAACTGCAGCAGTAGATAGAGCAGACTGCAAAATTAACTCAGTAACCATACACACAAGTCACAGTCATTGGTAATAAGCTGTTACTGGAATATTAGATGCTGTGCCACGAAGTACTTGCAGATGGCAGCAGGTGACAAGCTTTCCAGGATCAGGTCCTAGGCTGGGACCCTGTTTCTGTCAGCTGTAAACACCAGCATTTCCTCCCCGCTCAGACCCATACCATCTCCACATCTGCATCACAACTGGCACTATCCATTACAGCAATCACGCTGTTTCACTACCACAACCAGTGAAACCACACAAGGGGAGAAAGCACAGCCTCTTACAGTCTCAGTGGAAGAAACAGGGCTTATGGCTTAGGTTAATTTGTAGGAAGTTTAGTTTCTCTCTGTACTGTCCTTTGCCTTTAGTTTCTATCTGTACCGTCCTTTGCCTCATACTTAGATGAAAGAGGATATTCTCCCTGGATAGCATGACCCTTGGAGATGGGAAGTGAGCCAAACACTAAATATAGACAATTAGGGTATTTGTCGGTCGCCCCTGCTTGTAGATAAAAGCTGCTAATATGGTTATTTAAAATAATACAAACTTAACAATGATACTTTCATAACAGCCCTAGTAGGATATAAGGATCTGGTGTTAGAAATGGATTTGCTCACTTTATTTACACAGTTTCCTCTCTCTCAGCTGAAGGAAGAAAAGCCTGAAAACCAAACACTAAAAATTTACAATAATCAAACAGCAAATAAAAATATACAAATTAATTTTTAAAATCCCACGGCTTTCAACAGATCTCATGATTTGCCAACAAGATTTTTGATTTGAGGGTGACAGTACTGTTACTGTAGTGAGCAGAAGTGCCCCTCAAGAGCTGTGTGATATTTGTGATTGGTCTTCACATCTAACTCCTGCCAAAGCCAGCCACACTAAGCAGCATTTGGACAAGAAAAGACAAACCATGTTCGGATAGTGCAGGAACCGTGAAGCAGGAGTGTCCTGGGCTGAGGTTCCCTTTAGTGTTGTTGGTATCCCAACAACACATGGGCTGTGAAGCTGTTGGTTATTACTTCTTCATGGCACGGATGAGTGTCACAAAGGCACGCAAAATGCTGACGACTCCTCATTTGAAAACTGCTGAGTGGGCAGCTCGGGTGTAAGTCGGAGCTGCCTGCAGCACTGCCAGGCTGGCAGTGCTGGCAGGCAGTGCCCTGGCCCTCCCTGGGGGACGAAAGCTCTCCCTTACTTTGACAAGTGGGAAGTGCAGATGTGCAGCATGAAAACCAATACACTCGGGTGGGAAAAACAAGGGAGGTTTATTCCTGTCGTCAGGCTGGAGAGAAGCAAGGCGTGATGCTTCAGGTCAGCTCTCCCCGTCAGCAACACTGGCTTGCTCAACTCCTTATGCTCCCCAACCAGTTTATGGGCAGAAACATGCACAAGAACACAGCAGCAGAAGTTGCTTTTGTCTCTTCCTGCTATCACTGAGGAGCAACCGTATAAGCAACACCAAGACTGCCTTTTAGCAAACTAGGACACTGGGAAAGTTCACAGAAGATAAAAAAAAAAAATCCTGCACTGCCGGTGGCTTTATAGAAACATGTAATGGACAAAGCTGCCACTGTAAAGTGCTCCTGGGCAAAGAGGAGATGTGACTAAAGCATGGGGACAATAAGTGACAACTCCTGCCTGTCCTCTCTGCGGTCAGACCAGAGACACGCTAGCTGCCAACCGAGGCAGCGGTGACGCAATCCCTGCAAAGCTGGGTCATGCATGCTTTTTAGGACACGAAACTATCAAGAGATGAAACAAATAAACACGGGCTACCCAGGGCTCTTCAGAAGAAACAAGTCAAGTCAGAGCCACGCTGTCATTCATGGGCACTCCTGTGAAGAGTGCAGGACTGGCATAACGTGGCGATTGCTCAACCAGACCCTGACGTGCTGCTAATACACGATGAGCAAGAGGCTTGGAAACCCTGCTAGGACAGAAAGAACAGGACATGTTGCTCTTGCAGAGCCAGGATGAAAACAACAAAAAATATCCACTGGGAAACCCACCTCCCTTGCATGTTGTCTGACTGTGGGAAAGGCAGTTTTCCTTTCCTACAGGGTCTGCCTCACACTCTCCCTCCTGCTCTGCAGGGAGCACCCTACTTGCAAAGCAAAGGGCAAGGCAGCCCAGCCTCTGGATTAGCACAGGCAGGAATTTCTCCCAACTCCCTCTCCAGCTTGGAAAACATTCCTTAGCCTTGGTCAGCAGCACACCCTGCTAATCCGATTCCTGAGCCCTCCACAGAGGCAGCTCCATCCCTGCAAAAGCAGGCAGCAGTGCTGGGCCAGTGGGACAGGCTGCAGGGACAGCAAAATCCCCCCTTGGCCCTGTGCAACCTCATATGAGAAAGGCTGAAGGGATCTCGCTGCCAGAGCATGGGGCAACCACTGAGGAGGGGGATTGAAGTAGCTCTTCTAGGAGAGCCAAGAGGAGGCAGGAGGCAAGAATGCCCAAGGGTGCTCCGGGAGCTGGACTGTACCCCCTCAACATGCCACCTCTAGCCAGCCTCATGTAGCAAGCAGAGAAAGCAGGCTAGGAAAGATTGAGCTCAACAGCCTGCCAGGACTGCATCAGGTACCAACTTCTTTTGATCTTTCTCTACCTGCACCTTTTGCTAAATTCTCCCAAAAGACACCTCCTCCCTACCCTAAACCCTGTTACTAACACCTCCAAGTGCTACAGCCTCTACCTTCAAGCACAGGCAGGAAGATGAGAGGTTTGTGAAACAGCATCTGCAGGACATGTTTAGGGGCCACCAGAGACCCAGCGAAGACCACACAAGTCTCCTGTGCTTGCCAACAGGGGTAACCTGGGACAGCTCTGTCCCCACTGCAGAGAGACCCCCCTCCCATCCCAGCACAAGCATAGTTGCAATTGTACCGTACCAGCAGCGTTGGTCTCATCTGGTTTGTGCTATCTGCATGTTCACTGCCCACCTGCTTTCTTCTGAATGTTGATCCCACAGGATGGGCCACCAGAGACCCACCTAACCAGTGGCTGCCCAGCCCCAGCACACAACAGCCTCCTTGCAACGTGAGGAGGTAACCAGGGAGCACTGTGGTCCATATGTCTGGTCTAGTCAGCATCTTCTGTGCTCCTCAGGGCCCCAACTGCTGCTTTACAGCATGTAAAGTTTCTTGGTTTTCCTTCCTACTTGAAGAGGTGTTTGGAAACAAGGACCAGCAACACGCATGTTAATCAGCAACACTGGAGAAGTTGGTTGCTTTTCAATTACACCAGTCTTCATGCTTTTCACTATGTCGATATCTTCAATGACTTATTCTCTAGACATATCTAGAGCAGAGAGCTCTGAGCGTTCCTGTCCTCAGGAAGGACTTTCTGCTGGGCCCTCTAAGGGCTTGCACCTCCAGTGCACCACCTGCTTGATCTTCTTCTCTGTCCTTTGCTTAGAATAGAAAGTGGCCAAAAGCAATTTCTACCGAGCCCCAAGCCTCTAAGAATTTATTTTAAAAGATTTAAAATAAATGTATTGCATTTATGTTAATTGCCATATTTTGTAAGCACTGGGAATGAGTCTATGAAGCACTGACTATCCTGAAAACTCCAAACACTCAATCTCAAGCCCTTTATAAAAATCCCACTGAGTTCAATGAGACTGCATATAGTCACTCTGTGCTTCCTTGAGCATTTTCTTTTTTTTTTTTAATCTAAACAGTCTTGTTCTCCTGGACTGCCAGAAACTATCTCTAGTCCTCAAGACGTATGCAGCATGACCCTGGAGGAGTTAGGAAAACTAATAATACTCTTTACATACAAAATTTAAGTTCCTATCATTTTTTAAAAAAAGTTTTTATAATGAACTTACCATTTGCCTTTTGTTTTCTATCAAGTTTGATCCAATTATTCCAAGAAACGACCCAAAACCAAGCTGAAAAACAACACATTGTTAGCATTTATATCAGGATGATATCCAACATATTTTACATACAGACAGATCACAATTAAATCCAGAAGCAGCAAAAGAACATACTGTGGATGTGTGAGCACTCTTCCTTCAGCAAGGAATCAGTAGAGTCTCTCACTAGCAGGAACTATCGAGTGTATCCCTTATGTGACACTAAAAGCGTGTGTAGAAACCAAAAGGATGAGTTCTGAATTCCATCCCCTCCCCAGTGATGCTGAGAAATGGCTGGTGGATGAAGATATGCACTGCTGTCTTGGCACAACCCTATGAACACTCAGGAGCCTCCAGATGCAAACCTAGCAGGACCACATCACTAACATCTGCAGGACTAGGCTTCTGTAACATCACCAAGGGTGTGAGCGATCACCTAAGTTTTCAACTCAGAGAGTTTCTTGATGTGAAGTATGAAGTGAGGGAGAATTATACTCAGGAAGATGTAGCAGTTCTTCTGCCTCCTTCTTCTTGTCCCTCATTTCCAGGGCTGAGGATGCATCAACCAGGGTCTTCTACCAGAAGAGCTCACACCAGCTCAGCCGACAGAATAAGATACTCCAGCAAAAGCATCTTTTCTTGCTGCCATAACTGACAACACTGTTCTTATTTAAGCTCAGTGAAGCCAGCTAGGAATGCGATTTCCCACCTTCTTTCTCCATAGCCTTAAGCTATTTAGCTACACTGAATAAGAGTTTCTAGGACAGAGCACACCCCAGCCAGACCAGAAACAGGGAGTTCAACCAGGAACCACACATTACAGGGGGAGATGCAGATGTATTTCTGTGTCACACCAAGAAAGGTTTTTGATCAGTGTAGAGCATGTCCAACTCCACTTCTATGTGTTAGCAAAATGAGAAATGCCAGAGAAGTCCTACAGTTGGACTGGTCATATTAAGCAGGTACAAATCTAGTCAATAGACTAGCGGGGCAGTGAAGATCCAGGTGAGAATGACAAATAACTGGCCAGCTCCTCAGGAAGCAGAATAAGGCACGAGACAAGCTGCAGTGATTCAAGAATGAGTCAACTAACCTGGAATCGATATTTTAAGATCGAAAACAAAGGTTTAATAAATCCGATACTAACAAGCAGAGGCACATGCAGAGATTAGCAGATAACATGATGAAAAGTTGGGCGTAATTATTCCCCCTCTCTGCTTAAGACCAGCAACATTTTGTGCAGCACCGTGGGCAGCAAGGGCTGCTGGCTCAAACAGCAGGGATTAAAGTGGAGCAGCCGATCAGGCTGCTGCTTCCTGGCTGCCCATCTTGTACTCTGAGCTCTCAGAGACTGTTGTCCCCACATCAGGGACAAAATACCACGACAGGAAGCACAACAACGAAGCCAAGGGCTGCTTAACACTGGGGTGGCAGGCAGGCAGGGCAGAGCGCCCAGAGCACTGCTGAACTGCCCCAAACTGATCTGCCAGTGCTTCTGGGCTTATTGTTTGGCTCAACTTGGGCAAGCAACAACCTCCACCTTCTCCAAGTAACAGGAGTTTTACAGCTCACTTTCAAGCCCAAAACCTGGAAGGTCCAGGCACTAACAGCAACATTGATCCAGGCATTATTTTCAGTCTGGTGATGTTTAGCAGCAAGGAAATTGTGTGGCAACACACACCTAAGGAGAATGCTGAAGAAAAATGTTTTGTGCCCTTTGAGCTTGATCCAACATATTTAAGAGAAATGTTCGCCTGGTGTTTCAGAGCAGCCTCAAACCAAAAGGTGAAATACCTAAGATAATTCAAAAAGAATAAATCAGTGCAAGTCTGTACATCCAACAGGCGAAGACCAAATAAATCAGTGGAGTCTCATTAAGTAATGGGAATTCTCATTGCATTAATGGGAAAACCACTCATTCTTCTACAGATAGGACAAAGAGATCTTAGTAATCTGCATCAATTGTATCACTTATTTGTCGGTGGCTATGATCCCCTGGGATATCTGTCTGAAAAGAGGATAGGACACAAAATGAATGTGGTTTTCCAGAGTAAAGCCCCAGGCCAATGTGCTTTACAAGGAACCATTACAGAAGAGGTTTGCCAGTCAAAGCCTAAGAAAGGTCAGTCATTTACACAGATGCTGGAAGCTGGTATGACTTGGAGAAAACACACTGAGCATCACATCCATAATGGCGCTTGCCCTCTGCACCTGATCATTACTCTTGTCTGCTGAGCATCACTGTTACACTCTGGGCTTCCCAGGCCCAGCTCGGGCATCCAGCAGAGGTGAGGATATCTCCCACAGGGGCACAGCCGGGGTGTTCACAGATATAGTTGTGAAAGTGTCGGTGGTCATGGAGGAGGGTGAAGGCAGCCTGGCTACAGGACATGTCATTGCACCCTCTGCTTCAGCTCCTCCAGTTGTGTCAATGAGGAACTGCACTCTCTGGGAAAAAAAAAAAAAAAACAGACAAAAAAAACCCAAAAACACACCAAAATCCCCCAGGACCCCAACCAAACAAAATCTCACTGGTGTATAGAAGGTATCCAATACCTGGTTCTGTCCTTCCTCAGGAGCAGAGGCCTGGGAAGATAATCCCCTACATCAGACAGCCATTTCTTTGCATGTTTCCTCCTTGCATAAGAGGTGTTTGCCCAAGACACACAAGTTAAAAGACAAAAGAACGGTGCATTAGGCATGGCAGTGATGAGACATCTGATGTCCCATGAGATAATCCCATCCATGAATCTGGTCCACACATGGAGAAGTCACCTAGCATGTGAAGAGACTTCTGATTCTGTCTTTTCCTTACCAATGCAGGAGACTCAGGGTCTGACTAAAGGTGGTGCACTGCTAAGGGCACACAGAAACCCCCAGTGGAGATGCACCCAGGCCTAACATTCATGTGAAGTTCTGGATGACAAGACCTGCAAGGAGCTGCTTCTTTGTGACTGTGGGAGCCACCTGATCAGGGACAACTCACTAAGTACTCATACACCACAGCAAGCCCTTTTTCCACAGTAAAGGGAGAAATCCCGGCTTGTTACGAAACATCAGCTATTTTAAGCATCTGCTGAAGCATCGAGCAGCACACAGAAATGTTTTCCTGTGCAGAGAGAAAGGCAAGGTTGTCGCACATTTCCACACAGCAGATTAATGAACTGGGAGGGGGAATTTGGTGACAAACACAAACCGTCAGGGTGCCTGTGAATAAAGCAACTCAGTGCCATTTCCAAGTCCAGGAATTAATTCATTCCTTGAGTAGAGTGAGTCTTACAAAAGCGTAAGTGATGCTGACGTTCCCAGAGCATAAATAGCACGGGAGATGTCAAGGGGATGTGAACAACAGGCTCTAGCCATCTGCATCAGCCTGCGGGACCTGCTCTGAAGCATGAGGTTCAACTCAGTCTGACAGAGCGTAGGCTAAGTGCAGAGAGTTTGAAGCCAGCCTGTCACCTTTCTCAACACCTTCCTTCTATAATTCTCTTTAAAAAAGATCAGGCCTAAATGCAGAAGTTACTGGGACAAGCCAGAAAACCAGTCCTAATCCAAAGACACCCAATGTTCCACACTGACGGCTGTAAAGGGGCTTTCTTCAGTCACAGAAGAGCTTGTCCATAGAGAAGTATACACCACTGTGAGACCAGCAATGTGTGACAAATAAATCAAACTGCAATAAGGCAAGAACAAATCTCCACCTAGTTATCTGGACTGGCTTTAGGCCTCCAATTTGCAGGCTCCAAACCTAAATGCACAGCCCTCCACAGCTGTTATACCAGGAGCCTCTAGCTGGGGGGCTGCAGTTACACTCGACCTGCTAAGACACCTAATTCGGCGGCAGCTTAGTCTTTTTTGTGCTTCTTTTTAAGCATGTCTCAGATACACACAGGAACAGACCAGGACTTGCTTTCCAGCTCATGTTAGACCTCTGCTCATGCTGGGAAGGGCATGAGGTACTTGCCCCTTATGCTTCTGCAGGAGGCTACATATCTACTGGCAAGATGGCTGGACACTAGTGGTCTTCTCTAAATTAAGCCATTTGAAGCTACATGATTGTCCTTTCCCATTTTCATCTGTTAATAACAAAAAAAGAAGAAATGGATGTGCTAGCTGCTTTGATGTGCAGTGCTTCCCTGGCAAGCTGCCACAGCTATTGCTAACGTGCTTCTCATTCAGGGATTCCAAATCGTTAAACACTTCTGCAAGTGAACTTTATGACCACAAGTTCACGTGAACAGTATTTCAAGACCTGGTCTCTCAACTGTTCTTGCCACCAATGGTCCTTCTTTGCCTTACTTCAGCCTGGGGTTGATGTGATGTATGCAAACAAAGGAGTTCTAAGGTTGCTTTGACTGACATAAGACCTATTTATCTGTCTCGCCGTTAGCTCAAAAGCATGTTATTACCTCAGCTCAGAGGAAGCTGCCACTTGGATGGGATTTTTGCATGGGAATGAGCAGCAGGTGCAAAATAATAATAAAACAAATAAATCAAATGGCAATGAAGTAGCTCGAGCGTAATATTCAGGACAAGATTACCCTTTTTAACATTTGCAGCATTACAAGGGACTTGTAGGCAATAAGTTTTCTAGACCTACCTAGGAGTTCTATACTTACAATAACCCCTGGGTAATAACCTCCAACAGTCACATTTTGGGTTCTTGTTGTAGCAGCTAGGCCCACCGTTAGAATTAATACTGACACAATGAGGAGAGTCACAGTTACGTAGAGGGAATTTCTTTTTCTTCTATTGAACGACCCTAAAAACACACATACACAACAGAATTTGCTGATTCCATATGGGGACAGTCACGGTACCACAAATTTCTCCTCCCACCACCAATCACATAGTGGTGAATTTTCTTTCTTCTAACTCGAGAATATTTTTGGATTCGGCTGTCATTTTTCACCTTCACTAACATGCTTTATCAAGCGTTACTAGGGCATGTGAATTCACATTTACTTTATCATTGCTCTGACGCAGATGAAAAGAGCCTTAAGACCCATAACTTTTCAAAGCTCATTTGGATACATGGGAACCTTCCAGTCCCTCTGGCCTGGGGCAGTTGAGCTAATGAGCAATATTACCATTGGACATTTATATATTCTCTGATCTGTCTACTTACATCAAGCTAAATAACCATGCTGTATGCCACTTGTTTTGAGGAGGGAAATCTTGGCTGTAATCATATCATAAAGCATCCACAATTTTCCATGTAAATGAGACATCACCAGTAACAGCCACTTCTCCTCCTCCTGTAGTATCATCCTCTACTTTCAGCAAGGACCAGGTATTTTTAGATGCTTGAATAATGAATTTGTGCATTAGTAAAACTCATCTACATCTGCCTGATTATGTGGTTGCTTTTTTTTTTTTTTCCTTCTTTTATATATTTATAGATCTCCCAAATGAGCATAAATATAAAATAGTGATTCCATCAGCCAGGAGGAAAGCTGGCTGCAATGTTACACTGAGCAACATCTTTAGGCATGTTTGTTCAGTGTGTGCTCTGCCATCTTTATATCACAGAACAATCTTTTTTATTATATTTCATACCTTATATAGACATAACCCAGCACCTGCGAGAGTGGATGGTAGGATAATGGACTATAACGGTCCCCTACTGTGCTCCCTGCAGGCTGCTGGGGCCACCCTGGATCCCATCCCCAGAGCCTGGGGCTCTCCAATGCACCCCAGGAGCAGGCAAAGATATTTCCCACCCCAGAGGCTCCCAAGTGATGTGCATGAAACACTCTAAGACGTGCTGATAGCAGAGAAGGGCAGGGACAAGAACAATGAGCTACTTCCAGCACTGCTGAGCGTATTCCCTGAGGCCAACCATGTTGGGAACCCCGATCTGAGGTGTTCAGGGGCTCCCTGACAGCCTGTACATAGCAAGATAAAACACCTGCAGAAAGGCCGGGAGGAAAGAGTCAGCCAACCCAAGCACAACCTCCTTGTCCAAATTCTTGAGAGAGAAGCATACCAGGCCTTGCTGGGCAGCTTTCTGTTTTGAAGATGTACACTCCAAGTGCCCACAGGCCCTTCTTTAGGGTCTGTGCAGATCTGCAGCACAGCTGGAGAGATCTTTTCACCCTAACGGCTATATCGATGCAGCCATATGGACACACACCAGTAAAAATTAACCCCCTTCCTCTGCAGGGACAGTTCTCCCCAAGGAAAAGTGCAGCAGCTCCCCAGTGCTCCCCCACACCCACTCCAACCTGGGCCACCAGCCGTGCTGCTGGCGGGAGTGCTCCCTCTCCATCCCGGTCCCTGCTCTGGGCTGGCGTGGCTGCCGTGGGCACAGGGCTGGATCGTTTCACCCACACCAATCAGATGGACTTGAAATCACAGATGAGTCCTAAACTTGGGGCTGAAAAGCCCAGTGCAAGGAGATGAAGGGCAAGAGGAGTTCATAAAGTAAAGCAACAACCTTTTTGACTGACCACTGCCTCTGGAAGGGAAGCTTTCCGCTCAAACCTTCTGCTCGTGTCCCAGAGCACAGCTGTGACCGCACCACTGGGACAACACTAGGTCTAAGGACAAGGAGCCTGACAACTAGTTAGTCCTTAGCTGGAATGAATAACTAGACAGTTACTAATTTCAAACAAAATGAAATTAAATAACTGCTAGAGAGCCCTAAGATCCGGGCTGGATCTTTCCACAGTGATCCATAGTTTCTCATGCCGTTTTTTACAGGATGGAGATAAAGTATCCAGCTGTTTGCTGCAGATTGCATTTGAAGTAATCTTTTTATTCTCCTAAATCTGCCAAATAAATTACTAATACAAAATATAGACTTCTAAAGCATGCAAAATTCATCAAGATAGGCCATTCTGTATGTATTGCCTCCCAAATACTATAGCTTGTGTCAAGCTCCAGTTCCAATGTAATCATTTAAATGCAAGTGTTATATAAACACCTTAAAATTCCAAAGCACTGGGACCAGAGGTTTAGCTGAACAAAACTTTGGAAACTGGGGAAAAAAATTGCTACTTCTTGCATAGATTAGCTCTGAAAGGAGAGAAAGGATGAACCTGTCTTGCTTACACACATGATAGATTACCAAAATTTGATTACTGCTACAGTTTGGCTGGCAGATGACAGAAGTAAAACCAGCCATATGTTCCTTACACAGCTTAAACTCTTTACAGTCAGGCTGTGTGGGTGTGCAGATGTTTGTGCCACACAACACCACCCTGCAGAGCACATCTGGGTCGTGGGTACACAAGCACAGCATTTACACACACAAACGGTATTCCTGCATTTCCAGAGGTGCTTCAGAAAGTTCCAATCAAAAAACCTGCAAAAAGTGCTCTTTTCCTCAAAACCAGAGTATTTTGTAATAGCGTTTCTGCAGGAAAACACTCTAAAAAGAAGCAGCTTGAAACAATGTTTATGGATTCTGAACTTGTTTCAGAACCACCATGTTTTCCACTCATATTTCTACATTGTTTCCCAGCCCAAACTGCCACACCCCAAAATGCAATATAGAAGTGTAACAAAAGGTTTCCAATTGGAAAACTTCTGAACGCTTTTCAACAGTCATCATAAGATTAAAAAAACAAAACAAAGAAACCCACAAAAACAGCAACAACCTAAAAACCCCAAACCAAACCCACCAAAACAAACAAATAACCAAAATGCTTTTATTCCAATTCCTAACAAAACCAACCACAATCCTTTACCTCGATATTGGAGAAAGATGTGAAATTTAAGAGATAATGTGATTACCTCCACTTCAGCTCTGTACTGGGACACTAATTTATTTTTTTTTCTTTCTCTGAAAACACGTTTTGTTATATGCATATTAAGAAAGTGGTTTTTTAGTTCTGTAAGGATGCCTTCCGCTGCCTCGGCATACATGGACTCAGTATCTCCACTAAGAGCTGCTGAAGGGCTGCCCTGACAAAATCCTCTCTCAACGTGAAATTTTGCTGAAAGGATTCCCCTCTAGATCATCTTCCACTTTGCTGCTGAGCTTGGTACAGCTTTACACACAGAAGTGGAGCTATGACAGTTTGCTATCTCTGCTTTTAAGAGACAGTAACAGCCTTTTCTCTGTTATTTATCCAAATTAGATACATCCAAACTTGCAATGCTTACCTCAACATGAGTATACAAGGTGGCTTGAAACACTGTGCTTAACTCTGTGAGTAAGATGTAAAGAAAATAACGCTATCTATAGTCTGGCTATTGCTTTTGCTAAAATGGCACTCAAAATGTGGACAGGCTTCAGAAAGATTTTTATTTTAAGCCTCAGAAGCATCCTCTTATAGCTGGCACATGTCAGCACACTCTAAAAACAAGGTGTTAGAGGGTTTTGCAACATTACTTTAAAAGTTTGCAATAATACTTATCTTTGTACTGCCCCTGATTTACTTTTTTTTTTTTTTTTTTCTGATTATCAGAAGAAAATAGACAAGATGGCACAGAAACAGCACTGACTTCTCCATCTTGTTCTTTGGAGGGGAGAAAGCCACAAGCGGAGAATAAGCGCAAAACAGTCCCAGCTTTAACTTTTACCCCAGGAGAACCGGGGGCAGGGGGCACCGAGCCGACCCCTTCCCTGCTAAACAAGCGTTAGTGGGCGAGCTGCCACCCAACCCACACGCGACCGAAGGGCCCCGCTGGCTGGCCCACGGCAGGGGGGTCTGCAGGCGTCTGGGTGGCTCCTCTCCGGCTTGGCTGGGTGCAAGGGTGGGGAAAGGGCCACCAGCAGCCGGTGCGAGGGACCCTCTGCCCTCCCTCAGCGGGGAGCGAGGGGCCCGTGCCCAAAGGATGCTGCGCGACCGGGGGCGTGGGGGGAAGCGGGTGCTGCGTGGGGCTGGCGGCTGCCTCCGCCCGGGGCAGCGAGCCGCCCCCCACGGGGGGCTCTGCAGCAGCCCCGTGGGCTGCGGGGCGGGAGGGGACGGACCGTCCCTTCGCGGCTGAGACCGCGCCTGAGCGGGGTCTGGGGGGAGGCGGCGGGCGAGGCCCCGGCCGCGGCCGGGAGTGTGTGTGTGTGTGTGGGGGGGTCCGGTGCGGCTGAGGCGGCGGCCGCGGGAGCCCACCGCCCAAAATGGCCGCGCGCCCCCGCGCACCGCGGCACATTCCCCCCCCGGGCCGGCGGGGCCTCACCCCCCCCCGCCCCCCCACACACACACACTTACCCACGGAGTCGGGCAAAGCGACGCCGCCCGGGCGCTGCTGAGTCAGGGACTGCCGCATGCTGCCGCCGCTCCCCGCCGCAGCCCCCGCCGGGCCACGGCGGCGGACAGAGCCCCGGCAGCGGCTCCGCCGCGCCTGCGCGCCGGGGCGGGAGCGGCGGGGCCGGGACGCGCCCCCCCCCCCCCCCCGCCCTTCTCCGCACCGCCCGCTGCCCCCGCCCGGGGCCCGCGGCGGAGCCTCCGGCGGGAAGGGCTCCGCTTACGGGCCGCAATCGCTGCCTGCCCCCGCGGAGGCCTGGGGCCGCCCCGCGCCGCGGGTACCGCTCCGCTGGAAGCAGCGGAGCGATCGCGCCCTGAAGGGTTTCTTTTTCGGGGGAGGACAAAGGTCCTGCCCCAGCTCCAGGAGGTTCCCGGCGTTGGACACCCCCGCAGCCCGGCCGGAGGGGCTCAGCTCCTCCCTGGTGTTGGGTCTCCCCTGCCCTCTCCCCATCTTCCCCCAGCTGCTCCCGCCCTGCCACCAGCTCCGCTGCTCCGGGCCTTCACCAAACACCTCCCTGGCCCCTCTCTGTCTCCCACCGTCCTCCCCATCTCCCCCCTCCCCGCAGCGCTGAGCCCCAGAGCGGTGCTGGTGGCACTCCCAGGCAGCCACCCCGCTGCGGCCACCGGCCTGGTTTTTGACTTCTCAGTGCTCTGAGATCTCTGCTCCAGTGGCGATGCCTGTTGCTGCCTGTGCCCCGTCCCGCAGAAGCAGCCCTCCAAGGAGACCCCACAAGCTCCCCACATCCCTGGACAAGGAGCTGGAACAGGCCCTCTACCTCTGTTTTCCATATTATCATGTCTGTAAAATGGGGATAAAAGCATCTTCCCAGCAGGCTTCATAATTGCTTGTAAATCACTTTAATGCCCTGGGCTGAGAGGTGCTAAGTGCAAATCATGTAATTATTTCAGGCCAAAGCATATTTCATCAAGTTAAAAGAAACTAATCCAATCTTTGCTTCAAAAAACCCCACACTTTTATTGGATAAGAGCCCAATTACCAGCTTCTCCTGGGAGAAAAGAGAAAGTGTATACTGACAGTGGTCTAAGAGGCAAGTTACAAATGCCCAGATCAATTAATGGCAAAAAATGCATCACCTTCAGAGAAATCAGCGGCTATTTACCTTGGATGAACTAGAGGAGCCCTGTGCTCACTGTTTGTGCCCTGCTGGGCAGTGGGGCCGACACTGGCCCCTCCTGCTCAGTCCTCCCCACTCTGTGCCAGTGATGGAGGGGATGGGTCTCGGCTGCCTCCTCCGCTCCGTTCCAGGACCAGGCTGGGTGGCAGCACAACCGCTGCAACTGGGCGCATGTGCCCCTGGGGAGCTGCTGGTGGCCCAGACTGTGCTAAATCCCTGTGCTCCATCCCAGCTCCAGAGCTCCGGGCCACCCACTCTCCAGCCCTGAGGCCCCAGCCCGGCCAGGGAGAGCCAGGTCTGGGCATGGCTACCTGCACCTCCCGCCCGCGGGCAGGCACCGGGACCGAGCCAGCCCTGCCTGCGTACCCGGCCAGCTCGGCGCAGACCGAGGCAGATGCCAGACCTCTTTCTTTCCCGCTGAGCCCATTTATTAGCACAGCCAGTGAGCGGCTTTCAGCCATGCTCAGGAGATGAAAGGGAGAAATGGTGTTTTGCTTGCTTAGACAGCGTGATGCAGCCCTGCTGGAGCCCTGGACCAATGTCCCCATTCCTCCGGGCAAAACAGCCTTTCCCCGCTGTTGAACAGAGCTTGGCTCTCCCACGAAGGGAAGGGTTGCTGGCCCCATTGGAAATGTGCCAAGGGAATGAACTGGTGGATGGTGCTGAGCTCCTGCTGGGACAGATGGTGTAAGACAAGCCCCACTGTTCCCCCAGAGCTGCGTGGGGCACAGACAGGGACAGGCAGCCCTCGCATGCTGCCATCACACCCCCAGAGCCATTCCAGCCACTGCTGCACGTGTGGTGGCAGGCAGCTTTGGTGAGGCTGGTCCGACACCAGCTCTCTGTCCCCCCGCTGCACCCCAGCGCTCCCACCATGTCGGCCCCTCTCAGCAGCAGGACACCAAGATGTACCTGCTGTGCCCCTAATGCACCATCTTGTGCCCATAATTCACTAATGGGAGAAAATCTGATACTCCCCAGCCCCGGTCTGCGGGGTGTCACAGCAAGGTGTCCCTCTGGACTTCGTCTCGGTGGTGGTGGCCGGCTCTTACAGCTGGGTCAGGGAAGCTGACGCTGCACGCTCCTCGCTGCTGTCTCAATTTGAAGGGATAAATATAGATCTGCCCCTCGAGCTACCCCTTCACTGCAAAAGAGGTTTTGCAAGCATTAACCATGGCCCTGCCATGACTGACAAGCACATATTGACAGATACATGTGGCCATCGAAAGCCCTAGCAATTTGCTAATGTTTATTAACAGCTACACGATCTTCCTGCGGCAGACAGCCCGGCTTCCCCATGTAGGGCGCTGGCTGGCATTGATGGGGACTGGGGCGCGGGGCAGGATGTTGCAAGGGTGCTGCAAAGGGCACCAGGGGGCTTGGGACGGGATCCTGTTGCATTGAGCTCACCCCTCTTAGGAAAGCAAGTTATTTTTTGATCCATTCCCAAACTCTGAAGTCCTGCAAGGTAGGGAGGGAAAGCAGAGTGGTTCCCCGCAGACAGGCAAAGGTCTTGGCGCAGCCACACTCACTCAGCCTTTTTCGGGGGGTGCTGCAGGGATGGGTAGCTGTGCTGAGGAGGGGGCTGTGCCTGCAGGTCCCTGAGATCTGGCGTGATGTGACACTTATTATGGGGCTGGTGCTGCTGGGCTCAGCCCCGGGCTCCTGCAATGATAATGCTCATGTTTCTCTGTGTTTCCCACCCAGGGATGGAGGGGAACGCCAGCGCCGGGGGCACGGAGAGCCACCACAGGAGCTCCCACTGGAAGGCGGTGAGTCTTTTGGGGACTGCTGGCCACCCTCCGAGAGGCAAGGCAGGGGCTGTTGCCAAGGACCTGCTTTGTAAAGACCGGCTGATAAATATAGCTACTTTGCTCTAGGAAATGCTGCTTCGTCCCTTAGGCAAAGCTTAAGCATTTGGTACTGAGAGGTGAGGGGGCAGTGGGGGGGTCTGGCTGGTGGTCCTGAGAAGCGAGTGGGGCTAGGAGGGATGGGGACACCTGGGCACGGGCCAGCCTCTGCATGCCTGGCTTTCAGCAGGAGGAACATGCTGTTGAGAGCAGACCTGGTCTGGGATAAGGATGGGGGAAAGCCCCTGATCGCCCTCAGGGTACCCATGACCATCAGGACATCATGATCCCACCAGGGATGAACCCCAGCTTTGCTTCACCACCCAGAGTCACCCTAGCTGCTGCGGCAGGCAGCAGCCTGGGGCTGCCCAGTGTCCCGACAGGTCCCACCGTGACTGTGACCCCTCCCTGCCCCAGCACACTCCTACCCTGGCTCTTGTGGCTCCTCCTGCCCCTTGTCCAGGTGCAAGGGACTATTTCGAGACCATCTCTGGTCCTGAGATACAAAGATAAAACACCTGGGAGGTGTTGCAATCCAGACCTAACCTAGCTCCCTAGCTCAAGGACCTCTGCCAGGGACCTGGCAGTGGGGCCATTCCTTCCCATCCAGCTGCCCCACACAGACCTCCCTGCCTGTGGGGAGAGCCCGGGCCCCCCTCAGCCTTCCCACACTGCCACGGAGCCCCCATGGCCTCTCCCAGATGGCAGAATGGGACCCTTCACTGAGTGCTGGATACACAGTATGGAGCCATGAGAGCTGGAAATTTTTCCCTCCTTTAAAAAGCCTTCTGAAGGGCAGGGCTGTGGGTTTCCCTGAGTGAGAGCCCAGGGGGGGCCATCCCCCTGTACCCCCACAGCTCTAAGCATTGGTAGCAGCTTCTGGGCGAAGGCTCTGCATGGAGCCCATGTGCTGCCTTCACTGCCTCCCAGCCGCAGCTGGTGTGAAATCCAAAGGGCTTTTCCCAAAGCAGCTCTAAGCGTCGGTGCAGAGTCCCTTCAAGCAGTCCCTGCTACTCTGGCAGTCTGAGAAAATGTTTCCAGAACAGCTGCTTGCAAGTCTTCTGTTTAATGGGAAGGAGAGAGAGAGGAAGGAGAACTCCTTCTCCTCCTCCTCTTCTTCCATCACTTGCTCCTGTGTGGGTGCCCTGACAGCCAGCAGCCCCCACACCTCCTCTCCCATGTCCCCATTGGCGACTCAGTCTGGAGTTGCTGCTTCCCCGCTCCAAAATCCTCTGGTTTTATCAGCCCTGCCTGGTACAGGGCTGTGGCCATGCAGGAGCTGGCTCAGGAAGGGTTTCAGCCCAGGGTCCGGGACCTGGGCCAAACACTGCCTTCACTATATGGGCAGCCACAGGCATTTTGCCGGCAGCAGCGCTCTGATGAAGGCGTGCTCACAAAACAGTCCCACCGGGGCTTTAACTGGGTCCAATCAGGGCTATCAGTAGGATGGTGATGGTTTACAGCCCCCCTGGGTCTGGCCCAGGCTCTCAAAGGCATGAATTTGGGCTTTGGAGTGGATACTCTCCCCCCTTTCTCACTGTTTTCCAGTATTTGTGTGTCTGAGCAGAGTTTAATCCCCCCTGATTTGAAGGTGTTTCCAAGCCAGACTTTTTGCCAAGCTATCAGCTGCTTCCTGGCTCCTCCAGGGTGACCTGTGGGGTGTAAATATTTCTTTCTTGTTGGCCCTGGCTCCAACAGGTGCCCATGGCCGGCAGGTTTCCATGGCCCTCAGCGCAGACACAGGACAATCATGCCGGTGATGCAACATTTGCAGCAGACACGGTGGCCGTGGGGGGACGTGGCCGGGGTGGGCAAGCATGGCCCTGACCCAGCCAGGAGTGGCTGAGTCCTGAAGCAGAGTTTGTATTAAAACACGGGGTGGCAATGAACCCATCCAAATCCCAGCATCACCCCTTCTCCCCAGTGGTACCTGGCTCAGCCCTGCACCAAGCTCAAAGCAAGGTCTGCACCCTCTCCCACCTCGCTGCCTGCTTTTGGAGACATTAGACCATGCCCGGGTCCAAGGAGAGTTAAGGAAGGCTACCATGTCTTTTCTCAAGCAACTCTGGTCAGGTACAGAGATTTATGCTCCTGAGGTCCAGACAAATGAGTTTTCACCATCAAGGCAAAAAGCAAAC